GCTGTCCACCAGTGGGCAGACAGGTGGTGGTGTCTTGGAGAGCTGCCGGTTGAGGAGATGCAGGGAGGCGGGTGTCTCCGAGGCTTCGTCGACTCGCCTCTCCCATGCTTCTCCCCTGTAAGCTCTCATTGCTTCCGACAGCTCTTCCGTCATAGCGTTTAGTTTGGTTTTGATCCGTGGGCATCGTGTCCGTGCCCAGAGCCTCCTCATCTTCCGCTTCTCGGATAGAAGCGTTTGCAGATTGCGTGGGAGTCCCTCCTTCCCGCGCCCCGTGGCGACAGGGTGAGAGTGTAGTTGGAGTTGCTCTTTTATAGTGTTGTGAAGATGTAGGGCCGCAGTCTCTACATCTTCACTGGTGGTAATTGGGGCGCAAGGTTGGAAGTCCTCCAGCGCACTACAAAAGCGGGTCCAATTTGTCTTCATTCGGAGACTTCTGGGCACCATGGCATCCACACTGATGTCGATAGTAATCAGCACGGGGAGGTGTTGTGTATCTATATCATACAACACTTCTAACCGTGTTGTATACGGCACTAGATGACACAGCACAATGTCAAGAACATCGGGCTTATGTTCTGGCTTTGTCGGGATATGGGTGGGCTCATCAGGGCCCAGCACCTCGTACCCCCACTCCTCGGCGTCGTCGAACAGTTTCCTGCCGGGTGGTGTGATCAGCGCGGAGCCCCAAGCGGGATGTTTCGCGTTGAGGTCTCCGGCGATTATTGCGGGTGTCGTGGAGTCAAATATGGTACGTATGTCTTGGGGGGCAAATGAGGTGCCGGGAGGTCTGTAGGCAGCAAAGATTCTAATTTCTCTGGTGCCTACCTTCAGCCTTATACCCTTGGTTCTGGTGGATATAAATTGTGTATTGGTGCCAACTTCTTCGTGCATGACGTCCCTCCTCACAAGGACCGCAGTACCTCTGTACGCGATACCTTCTGAGGAGATCTCGTCATGTCGGTACACGAAGAAGTTGGGGAGTTTTAATTGAGCAGAGGGGCGCAGTTTGGTCTCCCCCAGCAGCACAATTTGGATATTGTGCTGCTGGACCAGGGTTCTCAGGTCGGCGACCTTCCCTAAGATGCCGCCGGGGTTCCAGTAGACCATCCTAAGTTGATGGCCTGCTGACAGATGTTAGTTGGGCTAAGGCCGTTAAGATGGCCGAAAGGGGGTTGGTGCCGGTGGTCATGGCAGTCAGGACCTCTCCTAAGATCCTGATTACCACGCCCACCAGTTGAGCGAGGGCCTCCTCGATGGTGGTTGGTGCCTGGGGCTGTGATAGGGGTGTGACAGTTATTGTCCTTTTGGGTGGGCGTTGATCTCGGGGTTGGGGTGCAGATTGCTCGTTCTGATTTGATGGAGGGAAGGTATATCGCAGTTGTGGCAGTGGTAGTCGCTGTTCATTGGTGGTGTTGGGTGGAGGAAGAGGAGTTGAAGTACCACCCACTTGAGCTGTTTGGGTGGTTGCCTTCTTCTTCTTCTTCTTCTTGCCTCTTTTCCTCTTTGGGCGCTCTATGCGCTCCGTGGGATCATTCGCCGGTGGAGCTAATGTCGCCCCAGTCGTCGCGAATGTAGTAGGCGCTGGTGCTAATGTCACCTGCCGCTGCTGCGGTTGAGGCGCCTGGTGTTGCGGTTGCTGCTGTTTTTGCAGCTGTTGGGGTTGGAGTTGTGTTTGTCTTTGGGGCAGTGGTGGTTGCCACTGTTGAGGAGGTGGTTGTTGCGGTGCTCGTGCTGGTTCGCGCTGCGGGGGCATGGGAGGCTGTATGTTGATGCCTCTTTTCCTCGCAATTCGCTGCAGCACTGGGCATCGCCTGTCGTTTGCGGCGTGATCCCTGCTGCAGTTGGCGCATTTGGGCTGTGTATCTCTCGGTTGTGGGCAAGCAGAGGCAAGATGGTCACCCGCACAGCGTACACATTTGAAGGGCCGGTAGCAGTTGTAAGATGCGTGTCCGAACCCTTGACACCTGTGACACTGCGCAGGGCCAATTCTGCCTGTCCAACCTTCGATTGTAACTCCCGGCATGTAAAGGAGCTCATCAATTTTGTACAATCTGTTGAGCTCTTCAGGACTTAGGTGGTTCATCTTTACATGAAAGAGGCAGCCAGGCCTGCCTCTTTTTGGTGGTATTGCTCGGACAAAAGTAACAGGGAAGCCCTTCTCTATGAGGGCCTCCTGTATGTCCTTAGGGTCTGTGTCTGCAGGGAGCCCTCTTAACCCCACCTTCGTGGGTTGCTCCTCCTGTGGGGCGTAGCAATACCACACGAAGGTGGCATCCTCCTTGCTTTTATCGATGAGGTAGCGCTGGACCTTCCTATATTCGTTATCGGACTGGGGTCGAAAACGGACTCCCTTTCCAAATGGACGAGCATTAGGGGCGTGGCCCAGAAGTTGGTGTAAAATTTTGAAGTGCTTCGCCCAATCGGGGAAGCACTCCACTATAATAGGAGGGTATTTGGCCTGGTTATTTACTGGCTGTTGTGGTTTTTGTGCAGGTGGTGGTGGAGGTGATGGTGGCGCTGATCTTGGCGCTGCTGCAATTTGCGCATAGGAGTCCGGCGCTGAAGAAGGCCCAGGTATGGGCTCCTGGTTAGCAGGTTGGGAGTCTAGTATTGGGGCTAGAGTGGCGTAGGACGTATTGTCCCACTCTCTCTCCCCTTCCGGGTCTTCTTCACCGAAATCCTGCATGTCAGCGGTGCAGGCCGGAGAAGTGGTTGGAGACGGTGAGTTTGGCGGAATGTTATGCCTTACCACAGATTGTGGGGCTTGTCTCTCGGGTGGGGTTACCGAGGAAGGAGGCGATGCCGAATCAGATAATGAGTCTGATCCGGCTCTCAGCCTTTTCTCCTCTTGGAGCTGGTCTTCGTCTATTTCCGGAGGTGTACGTCTCCGCGAGGCTTGGCTCCGGCGTGGTAGTGGCGCCGGTTCGACGCTAGGTGGAGGCACAGCTTCACCAGCGCCGAGCGCGGCGCCAGTGGCCGATGAACTACCTATCCGCCTCGGGAGTTGGCTATATGGTGGGAGCACTCTGGATCTCTCAGGAGCGAAGAGGTCTCGCTCCATGAGGGGCCTGTCGAGTACTCCCGGACGCCTATCTGGTGGTTTACGGCGTGTTGGGGGAGGTTCCCCCTTGTCCGACATCACTAATTACTTGTGCTCAGCCCTTAGCTATCACACACCTTACTCCCCTCAGCGCGTGCAAACACACCGGGTGAGACCCGTGAGGGAGGCCCAGCGAGGCGCCCGCGAGCAGGGAGGGGTGTGTGAGGCGCAGATGGGATGGGCGTTATCTCACAAAATGCGGAACACTTGCAAACACTTTTTATAATAAAAAGAGGGTACAGTGTACAGACAAGATAAAAACGCAAAGTAGGGCACAGCGTAGGTAGTGACCTTTACGCTTACCTTATTAACAGTCCGACGCAGGAAATGCGCCAGCGACGCCTCGACGCCAAACGGAGCGAACTCGACGTCGGCGGAGTCAATCACTAGCACAACACGTACACAACACAGGAGCGCACTAGACACGTCCGCACTGTAGCACGGCCCGCGACGAACTGGGTGGCGACACTATCGCACACCTTACCCCCCCAACCAAAGCTTAACCGTAAGGAGAACCGCGGTGCTGCGAGACGTTTTCTCGTACGAACACTTCTAACTTTTCACTAAAACGTCTCGAATAAAATTTAATTTTTTACCGTGATATATAAATATTATCGTATTCAGAAAGTTAATACGGTATATATTTGAGATTGTGCACGTAACAGACAAACCCGTTACGTATATAAGCGATCGAGAAACGAGCAATGGATGTTTATTTTGTTCACTATATTCTGAGCGTACCATGAGCCGCCTTTTAAAATGATTTTTCTCTATTTGCTCATTAGTTTAGTTAAATTTAAATCGGTCTATTGAAAGTTAATATCCTGAGGTTAGACAGAAGGCAGAGGTCACGCCGGTAATGCATTATTCGTAATGCAACGACCTATTATACGTCGAAGGTCGTAAAACACGAAGAGGTCTCGAGGCTCACAGACCGAAGTCCCTATACAAAGCGTAGGATCTTTGAAAATAGTCTATAATATTTTAAAATTTGTCCACTGTAATCTGAAATAATTATTATAAATCATCATTATTTCTAGAATGTTGCAACACGTTCCCATACTTCTTCAAAATACGTACAAAAGCTGGGCTGGGCAGTCACGCTTCAGAGCAACGTATGTTTATAAAGCGTTAAGTATTTAAAAAAAAAAAATGAAGTGTGATATTATTAAAATATAGTATATCATATTATTATGTATATATTAAATAATAAGGGAGATAAATAAGAGAAAAAAAAAATACAATTCGGAATTATGATAATATATTCCTAAGACGTTCGAACCATTATTTCAATATGGCGATATCTTACACTTGTTTAGTAGGTATCGTCAAATTTAAGAAGAGTATAGTCATTTAAACGTGTGTGTGCATACATGAATTGTCGTTTCTTTCATTCAGATCAGTTTTTCGAAATTATTTCGAATTAAAAAAAAAAAAAATAAACCTAATTTTGTTCTCCGCGTTTAATTGGTATATATAAATATTATGTGATGCCTTTACAGCTTTTAAATAACATAACTTTGTAGACAGACACATCTAATTCTAATATGCACTTACATACATGATCATAAACACACATACATTCGCACTTATATACATAATCATGCCATTTATACACATATCCATACAACAAAATACATGCTTGCACATATCATTTGACGATACTCTACGAAACAAATACAAGGTATATCGATAGTTTTGCGGCCCTGAAAAGTGCCTTTTTTTTTTTTATTAACTTATACGATTAGAAAAATCGTCTCATCACGTAACTTAACTCTCAGAGTCCCGCATACCAAGTAGCAAATACACACTACGCACATGGTGTACTATAGACGAACTTAGAGCGGACAGAGAGCCGTAGTACGTGGCGGTGGACGACGTCTCCATCGCGTATAAGAAATTAACCACCGAATCCGTAGAGGGTACGTCCTTGACGTTTCAGGGCGTAGACGACATCCATGGCGGTGACGGTTTTCCTCTTCGCATGCTCGGTGTATGTAACAGCGTCACGAATCACGTTCTCAAGGAACACCTTGAGTACACCGCGTGTCTCTTCGTAGATTAACCCGGAGATACGTTTCACACCGCCCCTGCGTGCGAGACGTCTGATAGCCGGTTTGGTGATACCCTGGATGTTATCACGAAGAACTTTTCTGTGCCTCTTCGCTCCACCTTTCCCCAAACCTTTACCACCTTTACCGCGACCGGTCATTTTCGCTTAGAGAAGAAAGACAACACACGAAATAATATATATAGAGACTTAACGTACGTTACGAACGCACGACGACAGATAGACCGCACTAACTTTTTTCCCGTTTATATAAAGTCACCCAGACGACTGAGACGGCTGAGGCGAGGGTGCGGGGAAGTATAAAATGGCGGGCAAATAAAAAGACGATGGCGGGGGGTGGGGGGGTGGGGGGGGGGGGGGGGAATTGGATGTTTCGTGTTGCTGTAGATGGTACCCGGAAAAAAAAAAATTTGTCGAAATATCGTTTAAAATTGGAAGAGGTAGTTTCTATATAATAATAAATAAATTTGTCAGTTCGATACGCGCGCCATCTATTGTAAGTTTATTAGTTAGCAATAAGTTGACTAAGTTTTAGCGCAATCTGATGAACGGTATGGTAGCGCATTATATACGAACAAACAAAAAAAAAAAAAAAAAAAAAAAAAAAATATTTATATATTAGAATATAGAAAGGTATCTAATTAGTTACTACGTATAAGGTAATACGATTTTGTCCTGCGCCAATGGCTAGACTCTCCATCCAATGAATCCTGAGGTCAATCCGCATACTATTAAAAAAAAAAAAAAAAAAAAAAAAAAAAAAAAAAAAAGAAATTAGTTAATCCCCCATTAATTTTAATACTCAAAGCCCGCCATGAAATAATGTCGCGGGGTGAACGAGGTGTATATAAAGTACAGATAATATTATTGTCGAAACATGTCGTTTTCTATTTTGTATCACTTCATTTAATATGATTATCCAAAGTAAGATATTATAATTTATATTATTATGAAGACGAAGATTTTTATTTATTAAAAAAAAAAAAAAAAAAAAAAAAAAAAAAAAAAAAAAACTGTATCCTAACTAACAGAAGCGTTCTGCGCGTGAACATTGGTGGTGGTAGACTTCGCGGGCAGCGGCGGCGCAGGCATCGTCGGCGCCGATCGTCGATGATGGTGATGAATGATCATCCGTCGTGAGACAGGTAAGCTTTACCCTACTGTGTATCTTATGATGTTAAATAGTATACAGTTTGTCGTCTATTATACTAGATTAGTACATCTATCTATTAATTTATTTAAACGGTATCTAAATAAACATTTCGATTTGCTGAGCCCTTAATTCGATATTATGTTTTTGTTGTTATCTCATAATATTACCATACCATACTATCTATCTATATATCTATCTATCTATTACTTGCTCGTTTAACGTTCTCTTATATTCTAAAGAAACGCACAGTTTATTGTGTAGAAACATATGCGGCCCTGAAAAGGGCCTTTTATGAAAGTGAAAGAGAACATACGTTAAAACCAACACAATCATCATCATCTTGTCAACGTGTAGTTGTTGTTAATGAGGCATATTTAATATTGCCACTTTCACACTGCCAATCGATGATTGATGTTAAAAATTAAACGTAGTTCACAACACAATCGGTAGAGTAGAGTTTATTAAGCTCGTTCCCCGCGAATTCTGCGCGCCAACTGTATGTCTTTCGGCATAATGGTTACGCGTTTTGCATGAATCGCGCATAAGTTGGTATCTTCGAACAACCCGACTAGGTAAGCTTCGCTAGCCTCTTGAAGGGCCATCACGGCGGAGCTCTGGAAGCGGAGGTCGGTCTTGAAATCCTGAGCGATTTCAAACACCAAACGTTGGAACGGCAATTTGCGGATGAGGAGCTCGGTGCTCTTCTGGTAGCGACGAATCTCACGGAGAGCGACGGTACCGGGCCTGTAGCGATGTGGTTTCTTAACACCGCCGGTTGCTGGTGCGCTCTTACGGGCTGCTTTGGTGGCCAGTTGTTTACGCGGCGCTTTACCACCGGTGGATTTCCGAGCGGTCTGCTTAGTACGTGCCATTGTTACGTTACACTAACTCAACTAATACACAATATATTCACTATACGACTATACGTTCTCAACGCGCGGGATACTGAAATCGTCGTTTTTTTTTTTTTTTTTTTTTTTGCGCCCGAAGCAATTGGAAAAGGGCTACCACTGAGGGAGGCGGAAAATGCATTATGCATACCACGACAGCCGGTCTGTCCTGGTTATGTGGGACTCACTGCCTACCGGGGGACCTAAGTGATACCCACTAAAAACCGCCTTTGGGGACTGGCAACTAGCTCTATTAAAGCTGCATATGCCGTATCTAAAGCGACCCTCTTTTGGGAAAAGAGGGCGCAGACGGCTAAGTGCCGTTTAGGGACTGCCTACGAAGGCATATTATTAATTTTAACTAATTTTTAATTTAATTAGGATTGGCCTGAGCCGCCAGGAGGCAGTTCAGGTCGTTTGACAACTTATTTGGCGGGTCCGAGAGAGTGTTTCTCGGCCTGCGGACGCTATAGCGAGAAGGGAGTGGGGCGGTATAAGTAACTGCCTCACGAATAAGTGTGTTAGTATGCGACTCTGATACTTTAAAGAAGTTTTCAGAGAATTTTTTAAGACATTGCTGGATTGTTGGGATTTCTAAATCCCGGTGAAGGTCGGCATTACGGACGTACCAAGGTGCGTTCGTAGCTCGACGACAGAAGAGGTTTTGAACTACTTGGAGTTCGTTAATAATTTTATCGTTAGCGTGTGCAAAAATAGGAGCCGAGTAAGTCATAACCGGTCGTATACAAACCTTATAGAGGGTTCGCTTATTTCGTAATGACATTTTGCTATGTCTGCCTAACATACTGTTAAGCCGACCTAAATAGAAACGTGCTAAACGCGTTACTCTTTTGACATGAGACTCAAAAGTAAGCCTATAGTCAAGGGTGACGCCTAAATATTTTGCTGACATGTGCCATGGGACAGGGGTCCCTAGCATTCGTATAGGTGGAGTATTTTTCTTGTTTTTATTACGGCGTCTTTTAATATCGAATTGAACTGCGGAGCTCTTCTCCGGGTTCACATCGATACGCCATTTTTGGAACCAGTCTCCTAGGTCATCGACTGACTTTTGGATCTTGTTCCTTGCTGAAGATATTCTAGGACTTTTGAAGTATAGTGCAGTGTCATCTGCGAAGAGTGAGAGCTGTACACCATTCGACGGGATAGGAATGTCGTTGGTGTACAAGATGTACAGGAGGGGAGCTAGTACTGATCCTTGAGGAACACCAGCTTTAATGGGGCGCTGAGAGGATAACGTGCCTTCGTGTCTAAAACGAAAGGTACGATGTTGTAAATAAGAGGCTACGAGACGTACTAGACGATCGGAGAGTCCTATCCTATATAATTTGAAAATAAGGCCTTCATGCCAGACTCGGTCGAAGGCTTTGGCAATGTCGAAAAAGACCGCGATTGTCTTTAGTCGACGTGGATAAAAACCGCTGAGGATATATTCCACAATGCGGTGTACCTGTTGTGGACACGAGTGTTTTGCGCGGAAACCAAATTGGTGTGGGATGACAATGGGGTCACCGTCTGTGGGAAACAGATGGCGCCTCATTCGATTTTGAATGACTCTTTCAAAGAGTTTGCCCATGGCCTTTAGGAGGCTAATGGGACGATGACTGGAGGGGAGGTTAAGAGGCTTGCCTGGCTTGGGAATACCAATGACAATTGCCTCTTTCCAAGAAGTGGGAAAGTAACTAAGATTAAAACAGGCGTTAAAGATAATAGCTAAGAGGGTTAACACCTGCTCTGGAAAGTATTTAAGGGCTTGGTTGGATATGCCATCCGCGCCCGGAGATTTTTTGGGCTTAAGTCCTTTGATGAGGGACGAGATCTCATCATTGGACACAGTGATAGGGTCAGAGGTTGTGGGGGGTGAGTTCCGGCGGCGGACCTCATCCTCCACTTCCTGAATATGTGAGGGGTCGACAGGTTGAGAGCTAGGAGAGCATTGTGCGGCAATGCTGTCTGCAAAGCACTCAGCCTTCTCGTCGTCCTCGAAGGCAACCGTACCGTCGGGGCGGGAGAGAGGGGGAGTGTGAGTTGTAGCGTCTATACGGAGGGCTCTAGCCATCTGATAGTACGCTGTATGTGAGGGAGATATATTCTCCATGAGTTCACTCCTTTGGAGCTCTCGAAATTCATAAAGGTGCGAACGGAGTTTTCGTTGAAGACGATTAGCCGTATGCCTATATTCGGGGGTGGGATATTTAGCTGCTCTCCGGAAAGCAGCTTTTTTAGCTTTTAATATGTTGCTAATATATAGGGGAAGCCCATTAGTATTAGCAACCGGAACGACCCTTTCATTCTCCTTAAGGGAGGATTTAATTAGGGTTGAAAGTGATTCGACCGCGGTGTCGATTTTTACAGGACTGTCTAAGTCTAAGTCCGACGATAGGTAATTAGGGGAGTCCTGCGAGTCCATAGCTTTTGCTAGTGAGTCCTTGAAACCCTTCCAGTTAGTGAAGGTTTTCGTAGTTATAATAGGGGGTGGCTGATGGCCAAGAATAAGAGAGACCGGTCGGTGATCGGATCCTATATCGTCTAGTGTCTCAATAGACCTGAGGTTGAGTGAAACTCCTTTGAGTAACGCAAAATCTAGTACATCTGGATTATAATCGGTATTATCGGGATAGTGCGTTGCACCGAGCGGGCTGAAAACGGTTAAGTCAAGAGACTGCGTTATATCACGCAGTATCCTACCATTAGTATTAATCGTACGGCATGTCCATTCAGTATGTTTAGAGTTGAAATCTCCAAACATAATGACTGAATTACTTTGAGATAAGATTGCCTCAAAATCATCTTTGAGGGGGAGGTTTTTAGGGGGAATGTAACAGGAGGCTATGACTAAAGACTGATGTCCCGTCATAGATATCCTGCATAACGTAGCTTCCATATTGGTAAGCTGTGGAGTATCAATAAGAGAGCAATGTAGTGTCTTCTTGTAATAAATGGCCGTGCCGCCGCCTCGGCGGTCGTGCCTATCATTACGAAGAAGAGAATAATTTTTAATGGATAAGCCTTTATTGTCTGTGTGTTTAAGATTGGTTTCCTGTAAGAGGAGAAAATCAGCTTCGCGATCTTTAAGGAAGAG